CATCTCCCTGGCCCTGCTGCTCAGCGTCGCCGTCATCGCCCTGGCCATCCAGTACCGCAGAGGTAGGAGGGTCCCCCCCACCCTGCCAGGATGGCAGTGCTGTCCCCTCACCTGGGGGGGACACGTCAGGATGGGGCGGGACAGGTCAGCCCGGGGCTGCTGCTCCAGGTGTTCTGCCCACCCTGGGGTGCAGGCAGGGCTTGGCCGCTCCGTGCCTCAGTTTCCCCCGGCACACACGCACAGCCCTGGGCATGCCTTCCCTGGCAGATCCCTCTCACAGCACGTGCCTGACGGATGCCTGTGTCCGGGTGGCCAGCAAGATCCTGGAGGCCTTGGATGTGGAGACAGACCCATGCCAGGACTTCTATCAGTACTCATGCGGGGGCTGGATCAAGAGGAACCCGCTGCCCAACGGGCGCTCCAAGTGGAGCACCTTCAACAGCATCTGGGACCAGAACCAGGCCATCATGAAGCATCTCCTAGGTGGGCACCAGGGAAGGGTCATGGCCACCAAGGGGGTGACCTCCAGGCACAGGCAGGCAGAGCCCCAGCGTCCCTGGGGCTGACCCGCAGCCTCCCGCAGAGAACACCACCTTCAACTCCAGCAGCGAGGCGGAGCGGAAGACGCAGCGGTACTACCTGTCCTGCCTCCAGGAGCAGAGGATAGAGGAGCTGGGCTCCCAGCCCCTCATGGAGCTCATCGACAAGGTGGGCAGCCATCCACATGTGAGCCGAGCTGTCAGGGCTAAGCCCAGTGCATCTCCTGCTCGGTTCTTTGCATTACTGGGGAGGGGGCAGCCCTTGGGGACGGACCCTATCCCTCCTTGAGGCGCTGGGTCCATGTGCTGGCAGATTGGGGGTTGGAATGTCACCGGCTCCTGGAACCAGACCAGCTTCATGGAGGTCCTCAAGATGGTGTCGGGCACGTACCGGGCAACCCCCTTCTTCACGGTGTACGTGGGTGCAGACTCCAAGAGCTCCAACAGCAACGTCATACAGGTTCGTACCTTGGCACCAAGGGGTGGTGAGCACCAAGGGGGCACCAGTGGGCACCAGGCTGCCCACTCTGCCCCTCTCTCCTCCCAGGTGGACCAGTCAGGGCTTTTTCTCCCATCCCGGGATTACTACCTGAACAAGACCGCCAACGAGAGGGTGAGGCTGGGTGCCGGCCCCCCTGCCAGCAGCAATGAGGGGAAACCCATGGCAATGGGGGGGCAGCAGCTCTAAGCCCCCCAGGGAGGTGGGATGAGCTGTGGCTGGGGCTGACCCGGGCCTTGGGGTCATGCCAGGTCCTGGCAGCGTACCTGGACTACATGGTGGAGCTGGGCACACTGCTGGGGGGTGCCCCAGAGCCCACCCGCCTCCAGATGCAGCAGGTGCTGGACTTTGAAACCCAGCTGGCCAACATCACTGTGCCCCAGGCTGAGCGGCGGGATGATGAGAAGATCTACCACAAGATGAGCATCACCGAGCTGCAGGTGGGCACAGCATTGCACAGCCTGGAGAAACCCTCTGGGCTGCAGAGGGGGACTGCACAGTGGGACACTGAGGGGTCTGTGCCCACTGCTGCCCCCCTCACAGGGACACCCCAAGCAGCTCCATCCATTCTGGGACATGTGCTGGGTGCTGGAGTGAGGTGCTCATCCTCCCAGTCATTAGGATTTGGGTGGAGCTGCCACCCCACATGGGGGGTCCCCAGCTCCCCTCCTTGTCCTGGAGCCCTAAGAGCAGTGGGGAGCCATGGGTTTGGGGCAGAGAAGGGAACTGGGATGGTGAGGGACGTTGGGCCCTTCCCTGGGAGCACAGCCCCTGCCCTGGGGGATCCTCCTGTGCCAGGCAGGATGGGGCAGAGCCGTGCCAAGCCCCTGGGTGCTGCGTCCCCATGTCCCCCCAGGCCCTGGCCCCTGCTGTTGACTGGCTGGACTACCTGTCCTTTGCCCTGGCCCCGCTGGAGCTGGCTGACACGGAGCCCGTGGTGGTGTACGGGGACACCTACCTCCAGCAGGTCTCCGACCTCATCAATAGCACTGACAAGAGGTAAGGCACCTGCGAGCCCCCTGCCATGCCCCATTGAGGGCTGCCCCCATGGTGGGGGCATGCTTTGGGCTTGCCAGTGGCTGGGGGCATCCCCCATGGACCATGCTCATGGCAAACCATGGCACTTCTCTGTCCTCGCAGCATCCTGAACAACTACCTGATCTGGAACCTGGTGCAGAAGACGGCCTCCAGCCTGGACCAGCGCTTCGAGACGGCCCAGGAGAAGCTGCTGGAGACACTCTATGGCACCAGGAAGGTAATGGGGGGGCCCTGTGACCAGCCCCTGCTGCTCCCAACCTGGAATCAGCCAGGACCACCTCTGCCCTTGGGATGCCCTTGAGATGCTGAGCCCTGGATGCTGCAGAGGGAACTCAAGGATCATCTTTTGGGATGGGGGTTTAGCTGCTGAGCATCTCTCCTGTGGGGAGAGAGCAAAGGCAGGCTGGGGGAAGGGAGGGAGCAGGAGAGGGGGCTGGGGGTCTCACAGACCACCATCTCGCTCCCACAGTCCTGCACGCCCCGCTGGCAAACCTGCATCTCCAACACGGACGACACACTCGGCTTCGCCCTGGGCTCCCTCTTCGTCAAAGCCACCTTCGACCGGGACAGCAAGGCCATTGTGAGGGCACTTCTGCCCCCATCCCTCCCCATCACCATCCGCGGGAACACCCCCTTTTTGCCCCCAAACCCCAGGGCTGGAAGGTGGGGAACAGTGAAACAGACCCCCAGTCCCAGGGAGGTCGTGTCCTGCCTACCCTGTCCCTGCCCAAGGGGCTGTGGGGCGGCAGCGGGGCTTCATCCCCTTCCCTCTCCAGGCTGAGGAGATGATCAGCGAGATCCGGGCAGCCTTCGAGGTGTCCCTGGACCAGCTGGACTGGATGGATGAGAAGACCAGGCAGGCAGCAAAGGAGAAGGTGACCCTGGGGAGGGCAGCAGGTGGGAGACCTCCCCCCATCCAAGTAAGCCCCCCCACCCCATCTCACTGCCGGGCCTCTCCCCACGCAGGCAGATGCCATCTACGACATGATCGGCTTCCCCGACTTCATCCTGGACAACAAGGAGCTGGACGATGTCTATGATGGGGTAGGGGGGCACTCAGCTCGTGGGGAGGGGGTCTGGTCCCTGCTCACACCAAGCCCTGGGGGACCCCATGGTGGGGTGGTGTCCCCATTTGGGGCACCCATTTGGGACAGGGAGTTAAACAGATCCACCCTGGTACCGAGCACATCCTGGCCAGGGTGAGGGAACCACCCTGGTGGACTGAACCCTCCTCATCCCTCCTCTTCCCCACCAGTACGAGGTCTCAGAGGACTCCTTCTTCCAGAACATGCTCAACTTCTACAACTTCTCTGCCAAAGTGATGGCTGACCAGCTCCGGAAGCCCCCCAACCGAGACCAGTAAGGGGGAGGGCCTGGAGGGGGGCGGGCAGAGGATGTGACACCAACGTGGTGTCACAGCACTGTCCCTAGCATGGCTTGGGTGGCACTGGTTCACTGAGAGGAAGGTGCCCACCATGGGGTAGCACAGCATTGTGTGTCACCCGTGGTGGCTCTGGGGTGGACAGGGACCCTTGCTCACGGGGCAGGGGCAGCAGTGCCAGTCCTGGGCAGGGCAGCACAGGGGACCCGTGGTGGGAGACAGTGCCAGGGTCGGGGGGAGAGGGGCATGTCTGTGCCTGCCTGTCCCCTGTCCCACCTCCCTGCCCCAGGTGGAGCATGACCCCACAGACTGTCAACGCCTACTACCTGCCCACCAAGAATGGGATCGTCTTCCCCGCCGGCATCC